AAAAAAAAAAAAAAAAAAAAAAAAAAAAAAGACAAACTCATTACATTTATAATGTTTCTAAAGTGTCTGAAAGTAACTGCTCTGGTTCCTAATGTTGCTAACAATACTGTTTAATTTAACCCATCTGCTCACTCAGCCCGTGTGCACAGTTGGAGCATGCAGTAACCGACATCATTTGTGATTGAAAGAGAGTGTAAAGTAGACAGACATATAGAAAATTTAAAGTTGCAAACCAAATAGGTAAGACCATTTCTTCTTGGGTGGCTGAGAGTTGGTGTGAGTCTCTGGCAAGGCAGGGAGCAGTGTCCTGGAGTGATCAGTGCGAGGAGTCAGGCACCTCCAGAGAGTCCTCCAGAAATCTGTGCACTGAGTGGGGAGAACAAGCTAATAGGAAACACTAATTACCAGCATGTGTTGAGGTCCTGCACCTCCTTGGAGACGAGGTTCTGACTGTCCTCGGACTTTTGTGGAGAGGAGGAGGAGATTGATCCTGCCTTTGTGTAATGGCCCAGCGAGCAGCTGTGCAACAGGACATTGGCTTTGGTTCCTCCTCAGTCTCACGGCATCTCCCTCCTGGGAGATCGCTGTGCCATGGGAGCACAGGCTCTCTCCTGGGTGGGAGAAAGAGGGCTGTGGCCAGAAGAATGAGTAGAGATCAAGTAAGGACCTGGCTTTGTTACCTCTGATTAGAGGGTGCATGAAATGCTAAGCCTGATGGTGTATTTGATTGACCCTCTTCTGTCGATGGATTAAAAGAACAGAAATAACCCAGAGTCCACGACCAACTCAACACAGACGCGGGTTACCAAGGAGGCTTCATTTTGGATGATGGTTTAAACATTCCACCCACTAGCCAGATGCGGAGACTTACCAGCTTCATCCACTTGTAGCAAGAGGATGAACAGTCTAGATGCCAGAGCTGCCCCAGCAATTGTCAGAATAAATAGAAAAGGGAGCTGGAACATCTGTGGTTGGGTATCGCTCTGAGTAGGCTACATGGTCTTTATCCAAAAAGAATACTCAAAATAACACCCAAAAAGGAAAAAGCAGATTTGAAATCCTTTTTCATTTTTAATTTTTTCATTAAAGATCCTGGCCACCTACTGAATGTGATTTGGAGAGAGCGTTGTGGCCAGGTGTAAATACTATAATGTTTTATTCTGCTGCTGCTGTAAATTTAGAACCTGGGTCTGTTTTTTGCTTTGCCATTAAAACACAATCTCCCCTTCTGCATGGGTTTCATTGCCTTGATTGAAGAGCAGCTCTGAGTTTTTGATGAATTATGTATGGTCCTTGCTATGGTCTAAACAAAAGAGCAGAAACTGATTTTTCATCACACTTCAGATTTTTCTGGCCTTGGTCTATTGCTGGATTGACCAAGGTGAGAAACAGCACTGCAAAATGCTCCATGGAGGGGATAAGTAGCATTCCAGCATCCAGCAGGTTTTCCTCAATGGGTTGATTTTCAGTGTAACTCTGTACCCATTTTTAAGATACAGAATGTGTGTGTACTTAAAAATGGGTACAGAGTAATACAGTGCAAGGAAGATGCCTATTTCTCAAAGTAAACTCCTTCAACTGTCTCCTGGTTTTAAATGCATCAGAGGTAAACGAAAGAAAGTTTAACCCTGACTTCCTTGCTGTCACATGTAAAGCAGACCAAGGAGGAAGCTCGCATAGGCTAAGAAGTCAAGAATTTTCACCGTGGTGATAACGAAGGTGGAGAAGCAATCATCGTGAAGAAGCTGTGTAAGGCAGTGCAGCAAATGACTGTGACTAGAGCATGGATTAAAGCAAAGGAAACAAACAATGAGCAAGTCTTTTATTCCTGATCAGACATTTCAGCAAATATTACAGCTTAACTTCAAAAAAAACCTTGCAACTAATGAGGTGATAGCCGTGCATATTAATAAACCCTCATAGTCATCACACCCACATCAAACATAAACATAAGATTAACACCTACACCACTTCTTTGGAAGATGTGAGAATGTCCCAATGATAAGTGTGCTCTTTTCCCCAGAGGATAAGAAGTAGAAATGGAAGGGTAATGAGAAATTAACTTAGATTTTAAAAAGAATTAGCAATTAAACAAGTCTAATCATGTACAAAGTCAAAGTTTGTATAAAGACAAACCAAAATCTGTTAAGTTCAAGAATAAGTATAGACCGTATGCATTTTATCTGGTATGTTTTTCTCTGTTCACACCTCCTTATTAAAAGAAATGTAGGAAATAAATGTTACCCGCTTGTGTTTAATTGTACTGATCTGTATTTGTATGCATGACTCTGTGTGTACTGGGGACCAGTATATATTGCATGGTTTGGGCACCTTGGTTTTTCTGACTAGGTTTTAAAATTGTGTCAGAGTTTTGAAAGAGTTTTCTGGTTTGTGATGTGCGAGGTTGGGCAGAGTCGCTAATCTGGAGATCTTCCTGGGCTGCCTGTTAGTTGCATGGCTCTCTGTGGCAGAAAGAAGGTTTATGCCTCACTCAGACCATCTCTTTTTTGCCCCAGGATATTCCCGTAGAAGGATATTCAGATCCTCTTTCTTTGACATAAGCTGCTGGAGCAGAGGCGTGCTGGTTGGTAGGGATGGTCACTAGCGCAATAACAGATGATGAGTGTTCCTATCTTCTCTGCAGTAATAGTTTGGTGAGGACTTCACCAAAGGTGTCTAGAGCAGAATACTTGACTTTCCCCCCTCCTCTTTTTAGCTTAGTGAGAAATAATCAATGTTAGTGCTACATATAATGAAACACAAAAATACTAGGACATGTACGTGTGTATATATATGCATACTTACATATATATGTATGTACAGCTGCACACATACATGCAAGCACATGGACCACTTAGGCTTATTTAAAAAAAAAATAATAATCCTGGCCTCTGCAAAAAGCATGCTGACGAGGTCGTTATGGCAAGAATGTATTTTCATTCTTCCAGCAGCTTCACTTTAACAATAATGTTCAATGAGCTGTCTGCCGCTAAAATTGTGCTTTTGTATCTCGTCTCCCTTGAACCTGGTGTGTTGCAGTTTTATATTTTTAAGTGACAGAAAAAAAGTCAAGAGACAGCTTTTAAAAATCTGTTTGTTTTTTTTTTCCTCACAATCATTAATCTGTTTGCTTTTCAATAAAACCAGATGATTGAATTGTTTGGTGTTCAAAAAGCTGAACCTCTGACAGTTCTGTTTACTGGTAAATAAGAGCTTGGAGGTCCCATTTATTTGCAGAGAGGTGAAACGACTTGGGCAGATATATCATAAAGCAGACTTGTTCATCCTCTATAATGATGCTTCATAGAAATCATTTGTATTAAGCAAGCACTGGTAATGGGAGCATAATGACCCCTTTTGGCTCTTGTTTAAATTCTTTCACTTCTAAACAGTAATATTAATCACAAGCAGATGGTGCAGAACATTATTTATGCACATTTGTTTTCCAAAAACAAAAAATGTTTAACCCATTAACTGAAGTGGTTGATGAAACAAAAAGGCTAATTTCCTGATTGGGTGATTTTTCTCCCCATTTTCAATATGAGATATCTTGTGAAGTGACATTTTTGTCTAGGGTTGTCACTTCCTTTTTTTCTTGAGGAAACCAAAGCAACCATTGGAATTCATAGCAAATATTTACTTAAGCCCCCAGTTTGCAGTGCTGTTTAATTCTGCTGCCAGGACAGACACTGGTTGTTAGCAGTACTTGTTTGTTTGCAGCTTGCTCAGTAGAGTCCCCAGCCTGAATAGACTTCCCTGATGGGCTGATTGCCAATAGCTTTTTTTTTTTTCTTTTAGGATTTTTTTTTTTATTTAAGTTCTATTTGTGGAAAGATTCTGGGATGAAGCAATGCCTAATAAATGACAGGTTTTTGGTGTTTTTTTTTAATTATACGGACTTACTGTCACTTTCCACGTGGTAGCAGGGAAGGGGAGATGGGATCTGCAGATCCCTGGTGACACAAGGTGATGGCTGGATAGAGTATTGGCTCTTCCTCGGTGGGATGGGTCAAATGTGACGTGGTTGTGTTAAGGGAAGAGGGACCTGTGGGCTGTGTTTGGAGACCACCCTGCCTCTTCCTCTGAGCTCATGACATGTACATGGTTGAGTCCTTATAGAAAGAAAATCTGGCTACATGCATGTTGCCTCATCATCACATTCCATGAGGTCACAGTGTCTCATGCTTAGAGCTTCCTTCTGCCCTCCCAGCCCCTTCACTCACAGTGAAAGGATTTTTGTTTTCTTAAAAAAAACACTGTTGATCTGGTCCTGATCTCACAAACCTATTTCCAGCCGTACTGCACCAAAATGTTTCTCTTGTCCATTTGGTTATTAATTATTTTTGTTACATCCTTTACAGTTAAAAGCAAAAACCTCTTCTTATACTGCAGTTTTCTTTTAAAGGTATTAGTACTGTCAACTGCTGGATTCATGGTGCAGAATGTCAGTCTTTTCTGTGTGTGTAATTGCATCTGCTGTTTAGTTCATTACAATTCAGCTCAAGCCTAGTAACAAGGTAGCTCTATTGGCTGCCATATTTTTAGAAAGAAGGTTAAATGGGATTACTGTGCAACTTGCTGTTCTTCTCTGGATTCAGGACATAGCCTGCTGATGTACTCGGCATGTCTTGTTAGATTTAGCAGTCACTCAACACCAGAGAGGAGCGTGCCGCTTAGCGGGTTGCCATAAGCAAAGATCTGTGTCTCCCTGAAGTTTTAGTTAGAAAACAGATTCCTAAAATGTTGTTGGGAAGCATATGAGAAATTTTGTGGCTGCATGGATTGCTCTGTAGGATGTTTTGTTTCATCACTCAAGGCGGGGGAATAGGTAAAAATCCATCCAAAATGCAGATCATGGATTGAATTCTGGAAGATGAAATGAAGATTGAGATATGCAAACTGAGTCTGTTGATGCTGTAACATGATGGAGACACTCGTGGCTGATTTTTTGTTTAGCTTTAGGGGGAAATTGCAAAACATACCAACAGTATATTGATCCTAACTTAAAATGTACAGATCCGCTTAAGCTATAATGTACTATTGAATGTTCCCCTTTTTTAAACTGGATTTTTAGCTCAGATATAGGAAAGCATTTAATCAGCTTGTTAATTGAGGTTATACATTTCTACATTACAGAGACAAATTAAGCAAGCTACTGTGGTACCAGAAAACATCTGCTAAACAAAGGCAAACTTAATGATAAACAAAATTAGGTTCTTTTCTAGTTGGGTTTCATCCATCTGCACCCAACTAGTGTTCACTTTTAAAGAAGGCAGAGATACAAGCTACTGCTTTTAATCCATTTTGACAGAAGAAAGCAGTGATTAGACAAAGCCACTGTGCGCTAATCTTCCCAAGTTTAAGCCAGGCCATAATGCGCACATTATGCTCTCTGACTGGGATCCCTGGAACAGAAAAGATGCTCAGTGTTTCCTGAACTACAGTTGGGCTGGATGTTCAGCAGTTCATTCACACGTCGATTTTACAGTATGCAGCAGAAGTGTACAAACTTCTTTTGACATCAGCGTTAAGATCTTTGCACTGACACTCCGGCTTTGCGATGTACATTGATCTTTTATTTGCTGGAACAGGATTAGTAATCATTTTAAGACGTTGCTGGTAGTTAACCTCTGTAAAAGCTCTGAAACCATGAGATCAGAGCCGATTTTATGCAGTAGAAGCCATGGAGGTGGAAGCCAATAGCTTTCAGTAACGGTGTGTGCAAGAGCAAAGCTGCTCCTGGGGTAGAAGGAGGCTTGAATGTGCTCATGCGTTTGTGTTTTGTCTGTGCTCCTATATGCAGGTGTTTGGATGGGACACTTTGTATTTGTAATTTTTATAGAATACTGAATTCTGCTCTTGTCTCTACATGGAATTAAGCGAGAGCTGTTAGAGGAGAGGGAGGCAGGGTTAATTGCAGCGTTAGAGTACAAAGTCACAGGGCTGGGCTGGGCCTTGAGAGGTCAGCCCAGCTATCCCTTGATACTAAAACAGGCTTCGCCATTTGCGCTGTTGCTTTTGGCTTGTTCCTAAATTGACCAGTGACAGTTTGTTCCCTCTCTGTCATCTCCACGCCGTAATCTGCAGATCCTTTCTGCCGACCTGCTCCAGCCTACACTCCAGGCAGTTGTTTTAATCCTATATTTGTGCAGTTGATTAATCCTTATCTAAATGTAGTACTTCCAGTTGTTCCCATCGAATTTCATCTTGATTTTTTCAGTCTGATTTTCCAGTTTGTCAAGATTACTTTGAATTCTAGGTCCTATCCTTCACTGCACTTGCTGTCCCTCCCAGATTGGTGTTACCTGCAGATTTAGTAACATGGATTATTAGTATTTGAGATGTACAGGTATAATATCATCTATGCTACTGACTGTTACAAACCAGAGGTTGCATTTGAAATATATCTTTGAAACATTTCCTATTAAAATCCATTGTGACGATATTCATAACCAACTCTGTATATACAATGCTTGTCTAGGATAATATAGATTAAATCCCGTTTTGTTCCTTCAACAGATGTGAAGCCGTCTAATATGTTGGTGAACACACGAGGCCAGGTGAAGCTGTGTGACTTTGGGGTTAGCACTCAGGTAATTCCCCCTTTAGATATCTGCCCGCTCTCTTTCTAATGTCAGAATCACCTGGCTGCCACACAAACAGCCCCACTGCAAGCTCCCCTCTGCTGGGACAGCCCTATTCATTTTTAATCTCTGGGTGACTTTTCTTCATCTGAATATGATTGTTCATTGTTTAATGACAGTAAAAACTGCTGATATTGTAATTACTACTTACGAATAGCAAACTTCATTGATATGCAGCTTTGATATGAAAGCGTTTTGGCCAGACAAAAGGGAGGGCAGAACGAGAGATGTGTCTGGGGAGCCCAACTGGCCCACAATAAAAATTAATATTGGGAGCAACAATAGTGGTGGGCTTTTACAATGTGCAGCACAAATTTTAATTAATTTCCATTTTGGGCCTCCCTGGAGAACTTCTCTGATAGTGACCCATGAGCTTGCTGTGATGTTGATTTGAATTTCAGCACCTTTACTCTCAGCCAAACATGAGGACCAAAGAGAAGGTCAGCCTTGTATTATAAGTTGTCAGAGTCTGTTGTCCCTCCAGCGTATTTAGTGCTCATTGCATTCAAGTGATGAATGTGGCTTTATTCACATCTTGAGCCAGCTGACTGAAAAATGAGTGTGTTCAATCCTACTTCAAATTGACTTTTTATATCAGACTAGTTTGGGGTACTAAAGCGATAAGCATCCTGTTTAACAGAATTGTTTAAGGTTATCTGCCATAAACTGTAATGCAGTGCTTGTTTAAATTGGAACTCTCATTCCGAACAAAAGAGAGATTTAATCATTTTTAATGCCTTTGCAGATAAATTTGTTCCCTTTTACATAATTTTTAGTTGATTTATAGGAATGATGATTGTAGGTTAAATGAGGAATAATTGCCCATTTTATTTCCACATTATCTTTATATTGTTCTAACAGACTGTTTTGTCTGATAGCTGGTGAATTCTATAGCCAAGACGTATGTTGGAACAAATGCTTATATGGCGGTAAGTGGATTTATGCAGGAATAACATTTAAATAGAAGTATTTGTTCACAGTCTTGTTCTGTGTAATGCCAGATACATTCTAAATCAAATCTCAAACTTCATCTCTCCCTATCCCTGCCATAAGCTATGTCTTAATTGTGCGTGCCACAGAGCAACTCCTTTTACTGTCTCAGACCCACTCCCGTCCTAACCATGCTCACCTATCAGCTCTGTCACAGCTGCACTGCTTGCAGATACGGAAGAATAATACTGGAAAAGTGTTTCTTATATGTATTTTTGGTTGCCTTTAGTACATTGTAACAACTGGGAAAAAAGAAAAGAGCCAGTTTAATGTTAAAAAACCCCAGTTTGTCGCTGATAGCTCACAGCTCTTAGCAGACCACTGACAGTCTGATAGTGTCCACAGTTTGGGAACAGCTGCTCCGAGCCTGTGGTTTAGCAAGGCAGTTAAACCTGTGCAGGTGTCCCATGGACTTCTTGATACCTCAACATCCCATGTGAAGCTGCCATGGAAATTTGAAGCTAAAACAATCGGACTAAGAATTTCAGGTCATAAAATTACATGTTGTGTAATCTTCATGCCATACATATCGAGTCATCAGTATGTTTCACTTTGCTATATGAATTTTGGTCAGAATGCTTGTTATGATGAGACTACTTTTGTCCTATTTCTGTACGTTGGAAGCATAAACTCCCATCATTTCTATATCAAAGTGACACTTTGCTGAAGATGTATCATTTGGAGGAACGCTGCTGCTGTTAGCTAGGATGTGAGGTCTGAGTTTAGCAGTTCTAGCTGATCAGACAGCTGGTGCGTGGTGTTCACGTCATTGAGATTAATGTGGTGACGAAAGCCAGTCTGAAAGTAAACTAAGAAGTTAGCGTGCATCTTCCATCAGATCAATCAATAGTTCTCCATTTAACAGACGTGAAAACTTAAATGCTCCAGTTTAGAGTGGTATATTAAGTGTTGTCTTTTATTTTTGGCCATTAAAATTCTTTAACAAACTACTTACATCATAATATTAATGAGGAAAAAAATAAATGTTCAGCTTGTTTAAAAGAAAAAAGTGCAAACAATACAAAGTGGTTGATACTTGTATTTTTCAAACCTCTCAAAAGAGGAGAGAGAAATCCATGACCTTTAATCACTTTCAGATATTTTTTCTTACTTTCTTGTAAGAAGAAAGCAGGCCAGGGTGTCCATTTATTTGCTAAGTGCTTTTCTAGTCAAGGTGTACTCATTATGTGGCTTCTGAAACACTCATGTCACCATCCTAGAAAGACTTGGGCTGTCCTGTGTCATCTGAATATTATGTGCAGAAAAAAAAATGTTTTTAAAAAAAAAAATGGTCTAATGTATTATACTTTCGCTTATAAGCTTGCTGGTTTCTATGCCTCCATTTTCTAAAAGAACTGGATTGTAGCGATTCAGACAAATAAACAGCTTCAAATTAATCAACTTTTCCAACTCAGCTGTTACTGAGTGGTCTTAAGCAGGTCTGAGAATTAAATTGTATTATGCTTTTAGTGTACCAATTAAGATCACTGTTCTCTTTCCCAGGTGTACATTAAATAAATTACTTTTTTTTTCTTATTGTTTATGGATGAATGTGATGCATTCTTCTGTGAATTGAAAAGAGAAGTTTAAGCTAAAATGTATTTGATCAGATTTCTTGTGTTAAAATTTGTTTTGCTTGCTGAATGAGTCATTTGTCGTCATCAAATTTATAGTCTAGTCATCAAAAAATAATGAAGGTCATAAGCTTTGGTTTGTCTGCCTACTTGGCAGACTGAGTAAATTTGAAACCATTAAAAAAATTGAGATTTCTGTTTAAAATCAAAAAGAAAAAAAAAAGCTTTTGGATTGAAAAATTAAAATTTCCAACAAAACTGTTTTCTATAAAATAATTTTATCACCACTTTATACAGAAAAAAATTTTGAATGAAAAAAGTAGCCAGTCTTAGAAATTTCTAAGAGAAAATATTTTTGATCTGTGTATCTTTAGAATGATTTCTGTGTTGCACACTTTATGCATGTGTTATTTTCACCATCTTTTCCATACTCATGTGACTATACTTTCTGTTTAAATATGCAAATGATTCACTTGCCACTATTTCCTGTGAATACATGATTTCTAAATGTAAGTTGCTTTTTAAAACTTGAGTTGTTATAACAGAAGAATAAACAATTTACTATCGCTCAGTGTGAATTTTGCATCTGATTTGGTGGCTCGGGAAGGGCTGGGGTCTCATGCACTGGAAAGATCCACGGGTTTTATCATCCTGCCACAAGTGCAGTGTCTGCCGGTGACAAAACGTGCTTGGCTGGGATAGCCAATAACACCTTATGCTATAAAAGCGGGTGATTATGTCAGTGTACATTTTTGGCTACATATCTGCATCTTTACAATGATCATTGTCAGTATAAAGTGATGCTTAAAAATCGTATCTCTATATGATGCTGTTGCAAACATTTCTAAGATATGCTGATCTAGGCTAACTATACTTACTGAAGATTTGCCTTAATGAACTTCAAAAAGAAAAAAAAAAAACAAAACACAAATGAGATTTTTGGTTTGCTGTTCAGCTTAAAAAAAAATGAGGCTCAGTCAAAAAGATTTTGTTCCAGTTACATTCTGGGGTGGTTTTTTAGGTTATGGCAGTTGTGGAAGGCTATCCTTAAAGAAAACGTGGGCAGCACTGTGTTTTTTACTTAACATTCATGCTGCGATAAAAGCTCTTGACCTGGGATTAGCAGTGCAGAGTAAACATCCGAAAACACATTGGACTGGCACTAATTTGGGAGTTTGTTTTCTAAAAAAGGTCTCTGGATTATTAAAGACTAAAAATACAGCCAGTGCTTCGTAGGTGGTTGGGCTAGACAGGTGCATTAACAGCACAGTGGGGAGAGAAGTCTCATGGAGCCTTTTATTGTTACATTTCATGCTGTACTTGACCTTGGAAATGCTTAAATTGTAGCTTTCAAGTAAAAACTAGCAGTTATATTTTACAGCATTCTATTTCATGAGGCATTAAACTTGCTATTAATAGTTTTGAGTGAAGTCTTTTTTTCTATAGGTCAAAAATGAAATTAAAATGTATATTAAATAAAATTGCTGGCATGTGACTTCATTGATTCTTTTGGCTTCAATAACTTCTCTTTTTAAGCTACAGTTACTCCCCAACATCTTGACTCAACATAAGGAATCTTTCCCTAGCGTACCTTGCTGCCGTGCCTGGGCTTGGCAGTAGCTGTAGATACCATTGGACTCTCACAACTTGACCTTGCACTCTGCTGTGCTTGTGCAAGCCGTTGGCTTTTTTTTGTTGGATATAACAGCCCAAGCACAAATGCCAAGGCCAACTTTACAAGGTGTATAGCAATGCATGGCCACAAACCTGAGCATAACCCAGTTCTTTGCTCTTGCAGAAGAGGCAAAATAATAAATATAAAATAAAATAAAAAATAATAAGTCATGTTCAAAGAGTGGATTTGCTGTCTGCCAGGTTAGCCTGTGAGCTTTAAGCTTCTTTGTGTTTTCTCAGTTGATTTGTTTGCCCTGGGCTAGCTTTTGTGGAATAAGTATGTATGTTTGCTAGGCTCAAGAAGATGGTTTTTTCTGTCTCTGCAGCCTGAGCGGATTTCAGGAGAACAGTACGGAATTCATTCGGACGTTTGGAGTCTAGGGATTTCCTTCATGGAGGTATGCAAATATCTATCATTTTCATGTGCACAGTGCAAGAATCAAATGAAATCTAGCATCAAATTATTTTAATGTAGTTTTTGTATACTCTTTTATATCTGCATGGTTTTAACTATTGCTAAATTTCTTGGCTGTATTTAGAATGGGTTTGCTCTCACTGTGTTCAATTTGGTTAGATACAAAGAGCATCTGTACAAGTCGTGTCTTAAACCCTCTAATAAAACTCGGTATGAGAGTTAGATTTAGAGCCTGGTACGTGGATGGCTCTGCATCCTTTCAACATCTCTGGGATTGAATATGACTGTGTTTCTGTGTTGCATCTTCACAGGCCAGGACAGAGTGAGCTATTATTAGGGTTAAAATAGCATTGTGTAGATTTACGTTTTTTGCTGGTTAATGACCTTGCAGAATCTTTGCAGAAATACTTGCATGATGGTCTAAGTCTCTCCCTGTGTGATTAAATAAAATGTTTGCATTTAAGTGTTCACAAGGGCTTTGAGAGAGATTTCTCACAAACATAGTTTCAAGCAGGAGGAACTCTTATCAAAATTGAAGCAGTTCAAAGAGAAGGTGGTCGTAAATGCAGTCATTTAGGAGAACTCATGCTTTCTGAGGGTTTAGCAAGAATAAGGTCAGTTTTGATTCAGGAAAAAGGTAGGGTTTTTCAGCTTAGGGTTCATCAGATATTTTAAGGAACATGAATTTCAGTGCAGGTGTAGGCCGGCCACAAACAAGTGAGCCACGGTCAGAAACCCTTGTAGCCTTGACAGCTCAAGCACTAAGCTTTCAGAAGACTTCAGCTCAAGGACAGTCCCATGGAAGAGCCTTCTGCTGCTTGGAGCAGTTGTTTCTTCCTACAAGAAGAGTTTATTCAAACCATCAATGACTTGCATCATCTTTCTTGCACAGCCTGACAAAGGCATGATACAAATAACTGAAAAATACAGGTGCCCTTCCCTTCTCTTCTCTTACAAGGTAGTATCATTATGGTAAAGATGAATATGTCTTTTGGAGAAGTGCACCTGATGCTTTTAGCTGATTAGATAGAAATAGTCTTGGTGACGGCCCTCTGCATCTAGACAAATTTTCACATTTTATAGCTTGAAAGTTAACAGACTATTATGTTTTCAAACAATAATTCTTTGCCAAATCAGTTTTAACCAAAATGAAAATACTTAATGCTGAATCATTGCAATCAGATGTTGTAAATCTTTTCCAGTCTGACTGAAGCTAACTCTGAATTACAATAATGACATACTTTAACGTGTCACAGGGGATGCAGTTCTTTTAATTTGTTTTACTGCAAATTTTAATGGTTTGTAAGTGCCAGAGAGCCCTCACAGTTTTGGGAGAGCTACAGAACATACTCATATGCTCTGTAAATGAATCTAGCCAACGAAGGGCTAAAATGAGATTGTGTTACATTAAGGCTTGACTATGGTGTTCTTCCTGATTCACAGCGAAATAGAGTGATAGAACTGCACAAGTCCTACAGAGCAAGCATTTACTAGTTCCTTGGCTGAATTAAAAATGTATTTTGGTGTGCAGCAGCAATCTGATGATTTACCACGTAGACCGAGATAGCTGGAATTTAGTTCAGGATTATTAGTAGGTAACCTCTCTGGTCATGATTTGAAGGATGAATTTCACATTATATTAGCCAACATTAGGAAAATTCCTTTCATTTGCATTTACTCTCCTCTTCTAAACCTTCTCAACTTTTTTTTTTTTCTCTCTCTACTTTCCATGAATGTCTTTTGAACCAGATGTACAAAAAACCAATTTGGTTCTATGTGCTTTGTTAATTGGTATGTCATCTGGTCCTCTGAGACCTCTCTTCAACATGATCGCTGTTTTATTGAAGTGGTTTGAGTGATGTGTTAAATGATGAAAGCAAGGACAGTGGCTTAGAAAAATGTCTCAAAAAGGTGAGGAAGATGCTCAAAGAGCCACACAAGGTCACTGTCATTAAAGTAGCACTGTATTGACATGGGGATTGGTAGTGGAGACACCCAGGCTCTTGTTGATGGAACTGTTAAAAAGGGAAGCTAGCATTTGCTGTAGGATTTTAAAATCATCTCCACTTCGTAGTGTAATACTGCAATCCCTAAAACTTCGTGCTAGCACAGTTATAGCATGTTAATTTAAAAGAAATAGCATGTTGGGACCAAGTTAGCAAAGGCAGTTCTGACGTATGATAATATAAAATAGCAGCTAAGTAAATCTTCTCATTTTCTTTAATAATCTTATGAGCCTTTAAAATGTTTTGAATTTCTTTGCTGCAAGCTCTGTGTAATGAGAAACTGAACTGTTACTTTTGAAGGTTAAGAGAAATGCCCCCAAAAACTTGCTAGCAGAGTGAGAAAAGTATTAGACATGTGTGCCAGCTAAGTTTTGAGAGATGGTGAGCATTCTTGTTCCTTTTGAAGTAAGAGGTGTCTGAAAGTGCTCGGTCTTCCCTTTGCCAGAATTTAAAAATGTATTAAAAATAATGAAATATTTTTTAAATGCTGCTACTTTTTTATTATTCCTTCTTTTTTTTTTTTTTGAGTTTGATTTTCTCCAGGATTTTCTGAAGTGTGTTAAATTTAATACGTAATATGTAAAACTCTTTAAAAGTGTTTCATCACAAATTGTGTGTTTTCATGAGGTTTTTAGACGTTTAAGCACTCTTGGGCTGACAAGGCAAGTTCAGTTTAAACTAATGACATCACTGTCACTACACTGAAGGCTGTGTCAGCATTATCATTTATAAAAGCTGGTTTTGAGGGGTTTATAACTCCATCATAAAATACTCTCCAGGCTGACTGGGCTGTGTGAGCGCTGTGTGTGCTCTGTAATCGATCCAGCCTCCCCCCCCAGAACCGTGCCCTGCGCAGGAGGATGAGATTGCCTGAAAGGTTTTGTTAGTCTCCAATATGACTCTAATCCTACCTTGCATGGCTGCTATCCAAAAGTGGACTTCAAAGCATCCAAAATGGGATGAAATACATTATATTGGTTTTGGATAGGCAGCATTCTTGTCCAGTGGTGCCTTTTTGTGGAGGTGTTTGAGGAGTAGGTACGCCTTCAGCTGAGCTGCTGCTCCTGGGCTAAGACACTGCTGCAAGGGAGAAGCAGCTGGGTGAGAAGAGCTTTGGTGGGACCCAGGTAGGGCTGGTGTGTTCTCAGGTCCTCCTGCTCCCCCAGGGGGTTGCTTCTTGGTTTTCTCCTGGATTTTACTGTCTTGAAGCTGCCTGCTGAGGAGCGCTGGCACTCTGACAAGACTGAGGACCAGTCTCCTACATAACATGAGGAGATTCTCATTTAAACTGCAACAGGGGAGGTTTAGACTGGACATTAGGAGAACATTTTTCCCAGAAAGAGTGGTCAGACAGTGGAATAGGTTGCTCAGGGAGGTGGTGGAGTCAACATCCCTGGATGTGTTTAAGGGTCGTTTAGGTGAGATGCTGAGAGATATGGTGTAGGGGAGAACTTGTAGAGTAGGGCTGATGGTTGGACTTGATGATCCCAAGGGTCTTTTCCAACCTGATTGATTCTGTGAGATGGTAGGTGAGGAAAAGGGAGTTTTGGGAAGAGAATTGAATAGACTTGTGATCCGAGCTGTTTGTGAGGGAAAGTACAGGCTTGCAGATTTTTGCCAGAAGATCCAGGGCTCATTTTACCTACAGATAGAATTGATATTATATAAGGAAATGCAGGAAATGAAAGTGATTCACTTGGGCCACAAACCAAGAAAGTTTTGGAAGTAGAATACAAGCTCATGCGCTTGGCTAATTATACCGTTTTATACCTCCTTTTGTACCACATCCTAGTCTCTACTTTCCAGTCTCTGCTGAGTAAAACAGCTACTTTCCTGTCTTTCAGGCCTCCTTTTAGAATTAACTTTTCTTGCAAAGTTTATCAGTGTTCTCTCTTTCAGGGAAAAAGAGTTTGTATATCAGTTCTAATGTTAGAAATAAGTTCTTAAAAGTCCCAAAATGAGAATTTTAAGTCTTCGGTCACAGAGTTCTCTGTTATCTGTATATCTGCAAGAGCTTTCAAGGGTTGGGAGTTGTTTGTGACATTTGTGTTGAAGTGCTGTTTTAAGCAGTATTTCAATAGTTGTTTGCATTCCCCCATATAGGAACACCAGTATATATCCAACAAACATGCCTTACATTGTGTATTTTAGGCACATATAGATATCTTCTGAGCAGGGTTAACACTGACCACATGCAATGTCAGCATTATGGAGTCTTAGACTCTTCAGCACACTTGGGCTGGGAGCGCAGAGGGAGGTGTAAGAGGAGCTCATTAAGACCACAAAGGCAAAGAGGAGGAATGTGTTTGAAAAGGATGCTACGAGAGAAGCAGCTCTGCTTTAAGATGATTCTCTTAAAGCACTTCAGTCTTTAAGATGTTTAGCTGCATAAAACTGATGTAAAGAGTCATGTATATGAAATCAAGGAGAGGAGGTTTCAGAAGAACTCTTTCTAAAGAGCCTAAAGTATGTTATCAGTCATGTATCAGCTTTGAAGTGATAATGGTTCCATATCAAGATTGTGAGCTGATCTGCAGACCATGATTTAGTCTTCTGCAGGATTTCACTTATGTGTGGATGTTATGGTTGGTCTTTCATCAATTTTACACCCTTACCTAAACAATAGCAGGTAGGCAGATCTGGGGGGGAAATCTGAGACCCAAAGCTTGGTGGTACAGCTTAGCTTCTGTAGTGGCACTGGAGGCTTGGTGAAGGTCTGGTAGAGAGGGCCACAATCATGATGGGGCAGCTGTGACTGCTGGAGACAGACATGGACCGTGCAGTGACCTACAGTGTCAGAAGCTACAGTGAATAGAAGCAGGAGGAATATTAATTAAGATAGCCCTTTAGAAGATGGCAAGGATCAAGCTTGAAAGGGAAATAAGAAGTTGCATTTAATCACTGTGCAGAGCAGGAGTCTTCGTATTGTCACAAAATACTTGACTGAAGTGAGGTATCTGCAATCAAGTGACAGTTC